TGTGTTTTGAGCTTGAGGCCGGGTCCGCCGCTGTTTTTATCGATATCTGCATAGCTTCCTTGATTTGCCACCAGTGTTCATTGAGTCCTTCGGCTGGCGGTTGAATTGACAAGCAATCGGAGAGCTCCTCCTCGAAGGCCGATTTGCATGAATCGCTGACACTGTATCGCGGATATCCGTTGTCAGTGGTTTTTTCGGTTGTTTACCAGGCGTAAGGAGAGCTTGGCTCGTAACAAGGCCTGATCTGTGTCCACAGCTGTTGACCAGTAAGAGCGGCAGTCTTGAATTGATCCCCTCCAGCGGTAACTGATAGTGATGTGGTCGATTTGGGTCCAGCGCAGTGAAGNCATGTAATTCGATGGCGTTTCTTGTGCGAGAAGTTCGTGTTTGACAGGACCAATCCGTGGTCCGTGCAGAGTTGAAGCAGGCGGCCTCCGTTGTCCGTCCGGTTGGCTGGGATTGCGTGTGGTCCGCCTAGAAGACTTTCTGATTCGTCCAGGGATCGCACTTGAGCATTGAAGTCCCCGCCGGCTACTACGACGTCCGTTGATTGAACACTTTTGGGTAGTTGAGAAAGATCCGGTTAAAATTCATCCTTGATTTCGGTATAATGCAATCGCGTCCGTTGATTGAGCACTTTGGAGTAGCTGAGAGAGATCCTGGTAGAACTCATCTTTGATTTCAGGTATACTGCAATCTGCCTGGTAGGATTCATCCTTGACTTCAGGTATACTGCAATCTGTCGGTGCATACGCCGATATGACGAATAAGCATCGACGCTTCATTCTGTAGCTGTTGACTCGAATTGAACCGTTGAGACGTACAGCGCACAATGGGCCACTGACGAATCCAGTCAAGAAACGAGCGCTCAGCCTTGGTACTTAGCGTAATCCAGACACCAGCAACACCGCGAGCTTCGGGTGCCGAATCGCCTGACACACGAAGGGTGAAGTGCGAGATTGAGTTTGAGTTTAGATTAGGAGAACGCAGAGAGGTAGATTGAAAGTTTCGAGAGTTTTAGCCAGGGCAGCTTGTTGGCCAATCTGATAGAGCGTGAGGACATAGAACGCGACCAAGTGAAAAGGGGATTTTGCCTTTAAGATTCCTATAGCTTCTGAATCTTTGGCCTTGATGGTGAACTGCTGAGTGATATTCGATGAGCGGCGTAAACAGGAGGCATCTGGGATTAATCGGGGTTGAGAAGAAAAACTAGTCAGAAGGGAAGGATCGTTTTTCAAATGGGTGCCTAAGAATTTAGGGCACGACATACTTTGCGGTAGCCCACACCGACGAAGGGATTTTTCTTTGGGAACCCTAACCGGAGCCTTTGGCAAGGCAGTGGGGCGTAACCCCAACGCGGGAGCGTGAACGAAGCACCCGTGTGGGAGCTTCTATAGACCTGTCACGCAAAGCCTTTGAATTTCGGTTAAGTTGGTTGTTCGCTGGTGCGTTGATTATCGGTTCGCTTTTCAGGATCAGCCCTTAGCCTCATGCACCCAATGAGACCAGCGGAACGTGAACGGGACAATACACATTGTGTAGCGAACAGCAGACGGGGCGAACCACATAGCCACGAAGACAGGCTATTCCGTCATGGAGACCGGTAACCTAAGCCTCGGGACTTGGAGTGGCGAATCACCTAAGGCCCCAATAGGTTAGGCGCAGTATTAGACCGGACGACAGCAAAGCTGTTTTCCACCAAATACTGAACCCAAACCCGGAGACCTTGCGTGACAGATCTCTAGAAGTTCCCGCACGGATGTTTCTGCCACTCTGCCCCACTGCCTTGTGGGTCAGACATTTGATTCAGAGGCTCCCGTTAGGGTTTCCAAAGAAGATCCCCTTCGTCGATGTGGGCTGCCGTGAAGAATGTCGTGCTCTAGAGTCTAAGGCACTCATTTGGAAAAACCTGTTTCCCACCTATGTAGTTCTTTGTCTCAGTCCCGAATAATCCCGGATGCTCCCTGTTTACGCCACTCATCGGATATAACTCAACGTTTTACAAATGAGACCAGACAATCCGAAGTTATAGGATTTTTGAAGCCGAAATTTCCTTTTCACTTTGGCGTTGTCAATTGAAGGCTGCCGCTCTCACTGTTCAACACCCGTGGATACACAGCACGCTTTGTTACGAACCAAGTCCTCCTTATGCCAGGCAAACAACCGCAATAGTGCCACTGGTAACGGATATCCACGATAGAATGTCAGTGATAGTTGCAAATCGGTCTCCGAAACAGAGCTCTCCGATCGCCTATCAGTTGAACAACCAACCAAAGGATTTAATGAAAAGTAAAAGCGGCTCTGCCGTCGCCCGGCTTACTACACCTGATCCACTGAAGCCTTATGTGGTCCGCCACTCCAAGTTTCGGGATCATGGTTTCTGGTTTCCTCACAACATAAACATGACAATACAGAATCACACGTTCTTCCTCTCTAGCTCGCTCTACGCACTGATACTGGAAACGCACTCATCACGAACATTCGCGGACTGAAACGCAATATTATTTCTGCACACCATTTTGTTCATTCTTCTGCTCCACGCTTCTATCCCCCTCGTCTGGCACCACCCACCTTCAAGTCCCTAACTGCACTTCTCATTCCTCCTTTCTATCCAAAGCTGGTGTCTGCGCATTTATTCAACTATCAATCGCCGCCTCCAGGATCCCAAATCTTAACTTTAACAATCGTGAATTTCAGCTGATGTTGCTGCAGCACCGAATTCCTTCCTTTAATCATTGCTTTTGTGTTCTATATCGTTCCCCCAATAGTTGCGACTCTTCCACCTTTGATTTTCTATCTTCGAACATTGCAACCGACCTCAACTGCCATGTTACCATCTTGGGAGGTTTTAACGCCCATAATCAGGATTGGTTGATACATTCATTGCTACTTCTTTGGGGCGCGAAGCCGAACATTTCGCTTTGGTCAACAATGTGAGCCAACTAGTTGGCCTCCCCACACGTGTCCCTGATCGAGCTGGCGATCGTGCCTACACCCTTGATCTAATCCTCACTTCTGTCCCTTCTCAGATGTTTGTACTCTCCCTCCTCTTGGCTCATCGGATCACTTGTTCCATTTGGTTTACCAGCCCTGATCCGCTACCCACATTCTGGCGTTACAACTCAGCTAACTGGGAAGGTTTCCGTGATTTCCTAGCTTCTTGTTCCTGGAACGACTGTTATTTCTCTTCGAACGTTTCCAAATCTGTTTCCAACTTCGACATTGTTTTTCAGGGTATGCATCTTTCTATTCCGCACTTTTCCAAACCCGGCAAACCCAAATCCCCTGAGTGGTTTAACCATGCATGTGACCGTGCACCTAAAACATTCAGCCTTCCGCCGCTGGCTCACTCCCGAACCCCAACATCGCTTCGTGCAAGCTAGGAACAGATGCTCGACGACCATCCAAAAAAACAAAGAACCCTTCGTTCACCGTGAAGCCGAAAACTTGGTTTCGTCCACCACCGATAGCCGAACATTTTTGTCCCTTGCTAAAGCAATTTCCCTTAGTTTCTGTCCTTCTAACTTTCCCCCTATCTGTAATTCCTCTGGTGATCTCGCATGTCAACTACACGAAAAAGCTGAAGTTTTTGGTTCCCGTTTTGCTGCTAATTCTATCTTACCCAATTATCCTATACCTCCACCTTCCTTCGTCACTGGCAACCCTTTTCTACCTCACATTAACACCAGGAAAATCCGTCAAACATTACGCTCTCTAAACGCAAACAAACCACCCGGTCCGGATGGTATTCCACCCATCATCCTCAAAATTTGTGTTCCCGAGCTGGCTCCTATTTTACGTCGTCTTTTCAGTCTTTCCCTCCAACTTCTTTCCCAACCCCTTGGAAGAACGCCGTGCTTTTTCCCATTCTCAACAATTACGGACCCATTTCCCTCACATTCTTTCTTTCGAAAGTATTTGAAATCATCATTTCTGACCAACTAAGCACGTTCCTCGAACGTGAGGGACTACTGAGTGACCGCCAGAATGGCTTCCGACAGCGTCGTTCGACCGGTGACCTACTGGCTTTTGTCTCACAGTCCTGGTCAGTTGCACTCAATAACCTGGGAGAAACACACTTGGTCTCGTTTGACATCTCAAAAGCCTTCGTAGCGTGAATATCATGTTTCCTCAGTAAGCGAACCATCTCCGTCCTAGTTGATGGGGTTCCATCTCAGTCATTCCCTGTGAATCCTGGTGTTCCCCAAGGTTCAGTACTTGCGCCCACCCTCTTCCTTCTATTTATCAGTGATCTCTTCCATACGGCCAACCCGATCCATTATTTTGCTGATGACGCCATTCTCTCTACTGCTCCCTCTTCTACCGCACTGCTCGCCATGCCCAAACCATCATAGATGGTGACCGTAGTGCAGTCAACGTGTCACTAGACTCCGATCTCGAATACATCTCCTCCTGGTGCATTGCAAACCACATTTCATTCAATAGTTCTAAAACCTCTCTCTTTTTAATTTCTTTAAAACACCATTCATTCCCCCCCCATTTATTTTTTTATTCCACTCAACTGCGTTCCACAGACTCTGTTTCCCTTCTTGGCTTGCCTATAACTTCTTTATGCTGGTTCCCTTTCAAAGCTGAGCTTGCTTCTCGTGCTGCGCTCAAGGTTGGTTTTTTATTTCGCGCCAGAAGTTTTCTCACTCCAGCTCATCTTCTAATGTACAAAGCTCAAATCCACCCTGCTCTTGAATACTGTAGTCACATGTGGGGTGGGGCTTCCTCTTCTTCTCTTTCCCTTTTTGATCGTGTTCAGCGAAAGGCCATTCGGTTAATCAATGATCCTTCCCTAACATCCAGTCTTCAGTCACTAGACCATCGTCGGGCAGTTGCTTCATTGTCCCTGCTCTACAGTTACTGCGTTGGTTTTTTTCTTCGGAACTTGCCTCGACAGTTCCTCTTCCTACAACTTTTAACCGCCCATCTCGTACACGGGCATCTAGTCATCCTTATCAGATTTCAGTTCCCAGATGTTCTTCTCTACTCCAATCTTTCTCCTCCCCCCCNCCCCCCCGAACTGCCAAGTTGTGGAACACCCTCCCACTTTCCGGTTTTCCCCAACCTTACACTCTTTGAATGCAGAAACTAAGCGTAAATGTTCCCCTACTCCCTTTTACGGTATGCTATTTGTCTATGAGAATCTCCTCTTTTACTGTGATTCACGGTGTGTAATAAAAAAACTATGCGAATATCGATAAAAACCGGTGGACTCTGGAACAGGCTCAAAACACAAACGATGGATCTTAGACAGGCTGTTCCCATCGGCGTTTGGGGATGGAGGTTCGGCGTTGGTTTTAGACTTGATGGAACTCATTGGTTCGGTATAGGGAAGCGAACAAGTTCTAACTGAATGGTGTGGATCAACCGTCTTACCGAGTTGTAACAAAGGTGATGGATCCTCTTGTGAAAACCACCGAGGAGTTAATTTCATCGACATTGCCCCTAGATTCCTCGCTAGCATCATACTCCGTCGATTGTTTGCCGCACAGAAAGAGTGTACGCATGAGAATCAGTCTGGTTTTAGACTTGATCGGAGCAGTATAGACCATATTTTCATCCTTCGCCAAATTCTGGAGCGCCGACTTCCTTTTCGTAGACCTACCGTCTCTGTTTTTCTGGATCTGAAAGCGGCTTTCGACTCAGTTGACCGCTCTAAACTCTGGTGCTGCCTTTCTCTGAAGGATGTGCCTGAGAAGCTCATTTCAGTAGTATGAGCCCTTTATACTAATAGCTGAATCTGAATCTGAGCTTACGTCAGTTTTCCGCCCCGATTCATCACGGAAAGTGGTGTGCGTCAGGGTTGCTCATTCTCTCTTTCTCTCCATTTTTGTTTAGTTTTGTTATAGATTTGATTATGGAGACATCTCTTTCCTCGTGCGAGGATAGTGGCATCGAATTGCTCCCGGGTGGTGTACTGTCTGATCTGGAGTATGCAGATGACTTTGTACTGCTAAATGTAGGTCCAGGTAAGTTGCAAACTTTTCTGGATAGTTTGAGTGTAGCTATAGGTTTTGCACCTTCAAAGTGTGAAATGTTACTACTAGACCGGGTTGGTCCCGCACCCAGCCTCTCTAACTGGGGAATTAATAGAGCAAGTGGACAAGTCTTGTTATCTGGGCAGCTGTATCTCACTCGGTGGACGCATTACGGATGAAGTGTCACCTCGCATGTGGAGCGCTCTATTGGCATTTGCCAACTTGAGACATGTGTGTCTCCGCCGCGACATCCGGCTTCCCGTGAAAGTTCGAGAGTATACTGCAGCAGCTCGACCAGTTCTGCTAACAGCGCAGAGATTTGGTCATTCGGAAAACAGGATAGGGGTGGACTGTCGGTATTCGAGCACAGCTGTCTACGCAGCATTGCACGAATCTAATGGGGCAACCGGACGAGCGATGCTGAGGTTAGGTGCAGAGTATTAGGTAATCACGGTCTCCTACTCGAGAAATTGGTCGACCTCGTTAGATTACGTTGTTTGGGGCATGCGCTCTGCATGTCCCCGGGCAGATTACACTGTGCACGATGTTTGCCGATGCAGGCAGTGAGTGGAAAAAGCCCGGGTTGGTGAAAATAAGCTCTGGCACGAAGGTATGAAAACCCTAACCAGGAGACTCGGTCATATAAATCGCGTTAGACTTCTCGTCTGGGGACCTCGGGATCGTTGTAATCAGTGGTTAGAGAGACAGTGATATGTCTGAGTGTCGTAACCAGTGGCGCTCGTGCATCTTATCAATTTGTTCGCAACCTTTACTGAAATTCTCCATTTTCTCTCCAATTCTACTTTCAAATTTCTTTTTTGTACTACTGAATCCAAATGGGCAGCCAAAGGACAGTAACCAAAACCGGTGCACGAAAATGCATGGTTAGTAATCGTACAGACTAAAACGGAATCTGTGTTCCGTCCAGACCATTGAACAACCTACTGTTCTTACCAGTCTCAATTTTTTTGTCTAAGCGTTATTTTTATACTTTCGTTCGCCAGATGCACGTACAGTTATTTGGCCTGGAATTTGGTCAAACACTGTTGAAATAAAAGGAAGAAGTATAAAAGCCTTAAACCGTGCAGAATTAGAGAGCATGCTAGTTACTATAGGCAGCATTAAACGTAAAACAGTAAAGCAAACTTCACTGGTCGCTGCAGGTAATCTAGATTTACGTGAAAAAGTGAGTGAACATACGAGTGCCACTTGACGACATTCAGTTACATCACCCTGTGTCTCTAAATGTTGGTTGCATTGGTCATGTTGTCCCCAACGGTGACCAGTTTATGGACTGATCACCAAGGACCTTCATCCGTCTGCCTTGGCAAACATCATCCGCTGAGGAATCCTATTCAGTTGTATGCGTTACACTCCACAGCCACCGCAAAATATGCGGTTGTGCTTGACCTCGACCATCTAATCTAATCTCGGCATTGCTTCGTCGGTTATCCCACCAAACTCGGCAAAAGTCAATAGTTCGCGTTTACCCTCCTCCCGTATCGACCAAGTCTCTGCATCACAATTACATCAAACGAACTGTTGCCGCATACACTCAGTTCTTCACTAGCAACCGAATCCATTAGTGGTGCTAAAACGTAAAGTTAGCAAACGTCAACCGAGCCTTCCATATACCCAACATAGCTACATCAACACCAACCGCATGTATAATCCTCATGAAATTTTACAATATCGTCTACTTAGTACAAAACAGAAATCTTACCTTCTGTGAGCATATTGATAAAGTGATCTCGCACGATAACAGTGCCGTTTCTGAAGTGAAATCATGTACATCGTCATCACCAGAATCAGTTCAAGTTTTTACAACATTTACCCATACCCTTTCGTTCACCACTCAACATTAATGGTAAACGATGTCGCAG